TTTTCACCCCCCAGCCTGAGTGATGGAATATTGACCAAGTTTTTGGGAGGAAAACACAACAGCCACTCGGTCTTGTCTGTATTGAGTACAAGCTTGTTAACCCCCATCCAGACCCTAACAGCCTCCAGGCACTGGCACATCATGTCAACCGCTTCACTGAGTTGGCACAGGATACATGTTTGATGCCCTTTTGGAAAAAGCATTTCTTAAGTGAGATAATAGGAAATGCTCTTCTAAACTGTAATTGCTGCCTTATTTTATAATGTTTATTAAAAGTTCTAAATCTTTGCAATTAATTATCATATGTTAAATAATCTAAAGAATTTGATTAAGAAAACATTACAGTCCCACTTTTCATTTCCATATTTGCCAAGAATTAGGCAGGTTTCGTGGAGTATAAGTGAAGTTAAAAATTACGGTTGTTCTTTGATAAAATTAGACTTCCTCTAAATGAACAATTGTTTGAATTAAATATTTTGGAAGTCAAAAGATACTGCTTAGGGCAGGGCTGTCAAACTCGCAGCCCATGGATTGGCTGTGTCACGCGCTGGCCATGCCTATGCCCAGTTTAGCAAAGGGGGGAAAAGTCACAATACATTATGTGACAACATGAGTTTGACAACCCTTGCTTGGAGGAATAATATTATAAGACAACTGAAACTTTTAAAAAAAATTACTCTTACTTATGTTTGATAAAATCTCTTTGTCAACAACCAAAGCCTTATGAGGACCCAGATTGTTAGGGGCAATATGCTGACTCTGTAAATGGCTTAGAGAGGGCTGTAAAGCTCTTTGAAGTGGTATATAAGTCTAAGTGCTATTGCTTATGCACAACAGCTAAAACATGCAGAGTGTTCAGATAGCTTCTATCATAGTATTATGATAAGGTGTATATCTTCAAACTCTTAGTGATTTGATAAAATTATCAGCAGGATGGTATAAAAGAAGAAACAGAACTGTCCCCATGAATGTTTCAGATCTTGCTATAATCAGATTTTAGCAGAATGTTTCAGATCTTACCTGCTAATTTATATGCAATTGGCAACTTGGTTTTGCTGTCTGGGAAATGAGATTGCTGTAGATTAATCAGTGGAACAACTTGCCTCCATAAATTATGAATGCTCCAACAATGGAAGTTTTTAAGAAGAGATTGAAAAACCAATTGTCTGAAATGGTGTAGGGTTTCCTGCCTAAGCAGGAGGTTGGACTAGAAGACCTCCAAGGTCCTTTCCAACTCTGTTATTCAATTTCTATTCAATTTCTATATTTTGGCTCTTTTCCCATCATATCTCCTAATTACACATCATCTGGGAATTTGTTCTGACTGACCCTTGGCTGCTAAATATTTCATTAGGAAAAGATACCATTCATAGTCTCATCTCTCTATCACATTCTACTATTAATAATACACCAATTCATGTGAATTCTGGTCCTCTCATCCTGGTTTTATAACTTATAAATCTCGTCCATGAAGTTTTTCTACATTTTCAGCATTATTAGTCACCGAATGCTTTTATAAACACTAAACCTTGACCCTAATCCTAATCCTAATCCTTCACATTTTTGAGGACTTACACGATACATAAAAAGATAGTGCATTTATTAAACGTCCAATTTAACATGTAACATTCAAAAAGGAAAAGTGGAGAAAGAATGCAAGCACTACAAAGTGCGTGGGGATCTCAATTGTTCTTAGTTTGAGGGATTATTTCATTTCCTTACCCCAAATGCTAAAAGAGTTTAAGGAAGGGAACAGGTTACATCGATCCAAGCTCTTTAAAGTCCCCCCCCCACCCGGCCTTTTATTTATTTATTTATTTTTAAAGAGGGTGGATTCAGTTTATCGAATTGGCCCGGATAAACCGGTTGGGATACCGCCCTCTAGTGAATCTTGAGCCTTGCGAGCTTCCGTCGCGGCCCCCTGCTGGCTGAATTTCGGTATGAGACTAATCAGCGCTTGTTCGATCTCAGTCTTTCTCTACACAGAGTGACTCTTGTTCTTTCCCTGCAACCGTTATGTCCCGGATCCTCAAATCGGTGGATTACGAGGTATTTGGCCGGGTTCAAGGTGAGGACCGGAGAAAGACGCGAAAGCTAAAATATTAGGAAAGGGGCTATGGGGAAGAGAACTGTTCTGGCAAAAATAGCCTCAGAGCGCACGAACTGCCCTCTCGGGTTACAAACAAAAGCTGGCAAGGAGAACTGTTTATAAAAAGCGAATTTAATTGCCAGATCATGCTGGCTGTGTAAACAGTTCTGTGCTTAATTAGTCTTAAAAGTGAATTGAAGAGCCGGCAAAGCTCTTAATGTTAATAATACGCATGCGTGGCAGGTGCAGGAAGGGACACTCACTATTTCCATGCCCCCAGCTCCATTAATGCTGTCCCAGTTACAAGTTACCATTACCTCCTATGCTAACTTCACAGGAGAGCTGTTCAACTGCTTACTGGAATTAGCACGTGTTTTAAAAACGGGGGAGATAAATTTTTATTTTAAACTGGCAATGAAAGATTACATTATTAAATCCTTTTTCATGCCAAAGCTAGTCATCAGAGAGAACAGTCTTCTTAATACATTTTATATATAAGGGATTTATCCACATCAGCCATCTTTCAAAACTGCACAAACACACTTTAGTGAAATACAAAGATGTAATAGGAACAGCAACAATTTGACCAAGATATGTGTTCTGTCTTCAGGGAAGGACACCATAAATATTATATTTCATTATGAATGATGCTTTGGCCACATATTTTCAGGGATAATTCAATCTTCTGCCTTATTTTCCTAGAACTCCTCAGGTCAAAACCACTCATTCTGTGTAAAATGATTGTAGATTTGTCACTGAAATAACTGCACATACAAATAAACCAGGAAAGAAAAAAGAAATGGTTATTTATATAAACCATCCTACATCTCTTTCTGTCTAAAAAAGAGACAGCCCACCAAAATAAGGCCCTTTCTAATGTAGGGAGCAAACAGTTAAAACCACAATGATAAAAATAGAATTAAAAATGCAATGTCCTTAATTTAAAACAAAAGAGTTAAAATAACATGACAACTAATTTAGAATGAAGAGCGGAGGATTAAAATGGAGTGCAATAATAGAACCATAATAAAATAAAATATTTTCCTGGTAGGAAAATAATATAAAAATAGACATCAACTGGGCTTCCATGTAGGACATATCACAGGAATTCAGCACTGTAAAAACATGAAAATACATAGCTGAGTGCCACATCTAAAATAGTATTTCTCTACCGTACATGTAAAGAAAAGCTATGCTTCTCTATACATACATCTCTCTTTGTATATGATGAATCTATGTAGTGTTTTTGCTCCATAAGAGGCACGTCCACCACCACTACCAAAAGATGGACGGTGCATTTGGTGAATAGCAGCTGGGCCACAGCGACAGGTTCCTTTTACAGTTCCTAACCTCACCTCTTCTGTCTTTGTCATTGCCCACCTCTTCTGTCTCTTTTCCACAGTGCAGGAGTCAATAGGCAGAGCTAGCACATGAGAGGATACTTATCTGCAGTCCTCTCAGGCTCCGTCTGATATTTTTTTGTCTTATTTTCCTCCTCTAAACTTGGTCTGGTGCGTCTTATGGAGCAAAAAATATGGTATATTGTTATACTACAAAGTCCATGTCATTGGTATTACAAAGTCCATGTTGTGTGACCTTAACATCGTTGATGTTTCAGGCATTGCCAACTCTCAACACAACAGAAAATGGTTCTTCTCAGCTCCCTTGATTTAAATATTTTGTATGTGACAAATCTATTATATTGTAATTCTATTAATGCTAAATAAATTTTATTTATTTGTGTAATTAATTTATATGCCACCCGTCTCACTATCTATAGTGACATATAATTTAATATATTATTTTATTAAAATGTTTTCCTACCCTATATGTAGCTGAGTAAAATCAATAGAACAGCAACCAAGTAGCATGATTAAAAATATAAATGATAAACTGCGATAAGTTTTTTTTCCTCTGTTTATCAGTTCTAAATGTTCCCAAAAGAAATAACCGAATAAAGAAACAACTTCAGCAAAAACAACTGAATATCATAGTGAGAAATTATTTTCCAATATTACCCTTAGCCCAAGTACAGTTCCATAACCCAGATGTGTATCTCATTAACAGTAGAGCCCAGTTGAGCACTCTTCCACTGAATTCGGTTATACATCTGGATTTCACTGGATCTATCCATTGTGCTTTCAATTTTCTTTGTTTCCCAAAAGGTATTACTTTTAATCACTTTTCATTTTACCAAACCTTCTATTAAAATAAAAACTGGCAATCTTTGATTGGTTGTTATAATGCGGTTTTATAAATACAAATGAAATGTTGTTCCATTGAGCAAATATTTATAATTTTATTTTCTTTGTATTCTTTTTTCTCAGGAGTTTGTTTCAGAATGGTAAGGCACCATGAAGTATATCTTCTTTGCATCCCTTCTCTGTAACATTTTTGAGAGCAAAATAAAAGCCTGTGCAGAGTCTTCAGAAATCTGCAATGCCACGTTTCTGTGTTAATCTGAAGAGTTAAGTATCATATAACAATAATGTGTGCTTTAGTGGAAATCCTTTTATGGTAGAACCCTGATTTTATGACCATTAGTTATATGCATGCCCTAATTTTAGTATTTTATTTAGCGACGTAAGAAAGAAGGTACCGGTGGACAAATTTAAGCATTGTACAAGGGTCCCAAGTTACATGGAAATCTTGCATTTCTCATTATCCATATTTAAGAGTGTGCAACCTGGAAACATGGGAAAGCCCATCTTTCATAATGATCAAGAAATATAAGGGGACTCTGTTCACTTTCCAAAGCAAAGTAGAAATTGTTGAAAGGTTTGGAAAGGTGAAATATGATTAGCAGTATTAACAGAAACAGTATTAGCAGAAGCATTTCGAATTGGGTTATCTACAATTTTACAACCAAAGGTTAAAAAAAGACACCTCCTTGCCTTTTCAGCAATGCGGGATGAAAATGAAAAAGGTAATGGGAAAGAATGAAATATGAAAAAAGAACCCGCATTAGAAAATACTATCTATGCAAGGTTTTTTTTCCCCAATGAATTTTTATGTGAAAGAGGCTTGGAAATGAACAAGAAATTAAATGGTAATCCTGACTTTAAGGCAAATTGAGGAAGGTTAACACAAATCAGGTTTCTCCATGGGATTCATCATTTTGGCATTCATTATGTAAAATTTATGAGCTGATCAGACAGGTACTCAGTGCCTGAAACAGAAATTCATAGATTTCAAAAATGAGAACTTTAATGCTGAAATTATTTATAATACTGTTATTATTTTTGGGCCCTTCCACTCTGAAGTATTAGTGTATTAGAAATTGCTTTGCAGTGGCTACAAGATGAACAGGACTGAGATGTTGCACTGTTTCCTGTAGGATTTGGCTGCAAAAAAGATAACCAATTGTCTCAAATTTTAAAAAATGCAGTATAGCCATCTGAATGGATGTAATCCAAATTCTTTTGGGCACAGAGTGCAAATTATACAGTTATTTGGTTTTCACTTAAAAAAATAAAATCAGATGAGAATATTTGTTCAGTGTGTGAATTTTCTCTCTCCTACCACAGAAGCATCTTTTATGTCTTATCTTGAAACTGTATGTGCCAGGCTCAGAACAAACTTATCTGAAAGCCTGGCGCTTATTGTATTTGAAGCAAGTACAAACCATAGCTCAGATCCTAAACTTCATAACAACATTTGCAGCATTCATGTGAAATGCTTCATTAGAGGACTTTGATTGGGGCAGAGTGTAGATAAGAGCGTAGTTGCAAAAGACTTGTCATATTCTTGATGGCCTAAGTTGAATGGTGTTTATAGTAGTTATCTGTGATGTGCTACACACAAACCTTTTTTTTAAGCAGACACATTTCTCAGCAGTTATGAGATGGGGTGAGGCTGTGTATTAATTAATTAGAAGGTTTTTTTTCCTTACTTGCTTCAGTTTTTCTGCAGAAATTTATATACGTAAAAAGTTGAGGTTTTATGTTATTACCTTATTCTACTGCATCAAAAAGTCAATGCTTTTCTTTTTCTTTTCCCCTTTGCCCTACACTTTTCTCTCTTCTACTTTTCCTTCCTTAGTTTCCCATTATTTTTCTTTTTCTTTGTATTTTGGTATTTTATATTTTGATAAACTAATAAAATATTGGAATCCAGCATTATAGGACTGGAAAGAATGTTGGAGGTCTTCTAATCCAATACCTTGCCCAAGGCAGGAGTCTTTACATCATCCCAGACAAATGATTGTCCAATCTTTTCTTGAAAACCTGAAGTGATGAGGCACCTGACCCTCAGAGGCAAACTGCTCTGTTGATTAATAGTTCTCACTGTCAAGAATTCTTCCTTATTTCCCGGTTGAATCTTTCTCTGACAAGCTTCTCCTTGTTGCTTTTTGTCCTTCTTTCAGGTGCTATGGAGAATACATTGATGCTCTCTTCCCTATGACATCCCTTCAAATATTGGAAGACTGCTTTCATATCTCCCCAAACCTTCTCTTCATTAGACTGCCCATACCTAGTTCCCTTAGCTGTTTATTGTATGATTTATGCTCCAGGCCCCTTGTCATCTTTGTGGCTGTTCTCTACATTTTTTCTAGTGCCTCAGCTTCTTTTTTGTATCATTATTGGAAAACCTCATTTTGCAGTAGTTCTTCCTTCAGGACAGATCCCAAACCATTTTGGTTGGCAGAGAACATGGAGCAATAGACTTCAGCTTTAGGATGGTACTTAGGGCACTACCTCCTTTTTAATATATACAATACATGAAGCCACTGGGCAATATCATCTATTGATACTGAGTGAAGTATCTCCAATACATTTATGATTCATCATTGAATATCTCTATCCCCAGCCTTCCAAATAAAGCTGTCAATATTCTTTCAGGGTGTGCAGAGGCTGCAAGAAAAGAAAAGTCGAGGCTTAATCCTGCAAATATGAAGTAGCTATGGGTTTTAGGTCCTCCAGATCCAGGAACTGGAATGTTTCTATCACTGGATCTTAGTGGGCAAGCTGGGAGTCCTTCTAAATTCTTAGGTCCTGCTCAAAGAGCAGATAGCACTGTTGCCATAGGGGTCTTTGTATAGTTTTATCTTCCAGCTGCAGATAAAAGGGGATTTGCTCAGGGTCACTTATGTCTTAGTCACCTCCAGATTGAATTAATGTAATGAGGCCTTGAACATTATCTGGAATCTTTAATTTATCCAGAATGCAGCAGTTCAAGTAGTTATGGGTGCAGGCCATTACACTCTTATGATTACTCTATGATCTACATTGGCTCCCAGAAGATGCAATTCAAAGTGCTGGTTTATCACCTTTAAAGCCATACATGGCATATGACCAAGCTACTTGTGGGATAGCCTATGTTAGGCCCAAGGAACCAAGAATGGCATAACTTCTGTGTTATTTTTTTATTGTTGCTTGCCTATAGACAGCAGTCATGCCAGACTAAAGCATTTATCTGCTTTTATAACTATTTAATATACCCTGCAAATGCTAAGGGGAGTCCACCTTCATTTTTTTTTCTACATATCAAATATTCCAAACTTCTTTGTCTCTTTGTTTGCTGGAAAGAGCCTTTTTCTTCTGTGATTCTGGTCCACATTCTACCACATCTTTCTGCCAAAATACCTGCCCCTTTATTCAAGGGGCCTTAATTTAAACACAGTTATATTACGAGTCGAGGAAGATATATTACAGACTCCAACTCCGCTTACCTATAAAAAAGTCATTAAGACCTGAGTTTTTCTCCATATACAGTATTTGCATCCAATTGAGGGGAGTCAATTACCCTATTTAGTTTCCATTATATATTCTATGCTTTATATCCTGTTTGCTTTATAATACATGGTTGTTTACATTTGTAAAGTACTGCCCAGAATCATATTTTTAGTTGTGTGACTTTACAGTTCCTTAAATAAATAACCAATTAAACAAAAAAAGAATACAGACTACAGGATTGCTACATTAGAAAGTTTGTATGTAGATTTCTCATGGAAAATAAAGTATTTCTTGAAATTCCCGTACTGTGATTTACCCTTTCTTCTAAATAAATATTATTAATAAGTACTCTGAAAGACTTGTTCTTTTGTGTAAACTGCTTCCAATCCAAATTGTTAGGGGGAAAGTCTGACACCTACTTAATACTATTTTATTTTAGTTTTGTTTTGTTTTAGTTCTATTAATGATGTTGCTTTTAAATTTTATTTGAATCTATTTTGATTCCTGCCTTTGAAGTTATTCAAATACCTGTGTGACTCTTTAACATAATCATATCTCTTATTTATGGAAAATGTTCTGAGTATAATTTTAGAAAACCACCCCACACACCTCCAAGGTCCCTTCCAACCCTATGATTCCATGCTCTATATATATGCAGCTGAGAACATGAGGTTAATTCTACTGCCAAATCTAGAAGTAGCAGAAACAAATTTAAGACTTAACATTGTTGGTCTTTTAGAAGAAGACTAGGCCATTAAAAAGCAAGTCATTGAATAAAACACAAGTTTTGAGACTGAATTGTACAGGTAGTCCTTGACTTATAACCATTCATTTAGTGACCATTTGAAGTTACAATGGTACTGAAAAAGTGACATATAACTGTTTTTCATACTTATGACTGTTACAGCATCCCGGTGGTCATATAATAAAATTTGGATGCTTGGCAACTGACACATATTTATGATGATTGGGATCATGTGATCACTGTTTGCAACCTTCTGACCAGAAAAATTAATGGGGAAATCAGATTCACTTAAAAACCATGTTACTAACTTAACTGCAGTAATTCACTTAACAACAATGGCAAAAGTCACAAAATGGGGCAAAAAGTGTTTTACCTAGCAACATGCATTTTGGGCTCAATTGTAGTCATTAAGTCTAGGACTGCATGTACTGTCACAGCTTTAAATCTTGAATGCATGCTGACTATATCTTCTTATGTTTGTTTTCCAAACCAGTACACAGAGGATAAAGCTAGGAAAGCGGGTATAGTTGGCTGGGTTAAAAATACCAGACAAGGAACGGTTACTGGACAAGTGCAAGGTCCAGAAGAGAAAGTGAATGAGATGTAAGTACACTCTTTCCTTGGTCTGCTGGCTAGCTTCACTAAATTGCTACGTTTGATTCAAATGCTGCTGCCAATTAATAAAGAACAAGCTTTCTAGGGATGGTGAAATGTAAACAATTAACTGAATGAATTTTCTTCAGAAGAAAACTAAACTCTGGTAATGAGAACTTGAAACTTCAAGCAAGCTAGAACAGGAATGGACAGTTCCAGACATCTCAATTTTGACCTGAGAATTGTAGTTCAGGAACACTTGAAAGGTCATAGGTTTCCCTTATGATCTAAAATCTTCCAGAAGGGAAGTAGCTCTACTTTGTTGGCACCCTATTTTTCCAATTCAGTTAGTTGCTGTACTTGTCACTAATTGTGTTTTCTTTATATTTAATCTTAATCACAAATTTTCTAGTACTTCTGATTTTTATTACTAGAGCTTTTAAATCTTTTGTATTTTCTGCTATTAGAGTAATATTACCAATATAATGCAGGCTACTGATATTTCTTCCTCCAATTTTAAAACCATGCTTGCCTTCTAATCTGGCTTCTAGGTAGATAAACAGGAGACAGGTAGAGGTGCAGAGATATACGTGTGTGTCTGTGTGTGTGTCTGCGTGTGTGTGTACGTGTAAGGAAAAACTCAAGGCTAATAGTGTGATTTTTTTTCTCCTTATAGTTTGTGGTCCCTGGTACTTTAAGAGAGAAAAGGACCACACCTGTACTGAAGGGAGATAAAAGAAAAATGCTGAAGGCACATGGTATGCTGTTGGTGGAAGAGAGAAAGGAAATTGTTGTTGGAAATGGAATGTGGGGATGACCTTGGGGGACAGAGGGGACAGATGCTACCTAGGAAACAATCAGACAAGAGTGGTAGGAGCCCCCAGTGACTTAGTGGTCAGAGAAAGAAACTTAGGAAAGACCCACTCTAACTGATCAATTAAAAGTGGAGTGGGAAGTCTGTATCTTCAGATTTGCAAGAATATTAATGTAACATTATGGTAAATTAGAATTAGCTCATCTAGTTGTGTTTTCTGTCTTATTTACCTGGAAGGGCTGAGAATTGTGTTTGAAAAACTACCATGTTTCCCTGAAAATAAGACAGGTTTTTTTTTTCTTTTGCCCCCTGAAATAAGCGCTTGACCTTATTTTCGGGTAGGTCTTATTATTTTTGAGGTGCAGGAGGCGGCGAGCATGGTCCCCTCATGGCTACTACTGTGTTGCAATATTTTGGGGAGGGCTTATTTTAGCGCATGCACTCAAAGCTTGAGTGAGCTTATTATCCAGGGAGGTGTTATTTTCAGGGAAACAGGGTAAAGCCAATTATCTGTGAAGGAGGGGAAACTAAAGTAGTTAGAGTGAGCAACAAGATCTTAAAATTATAGCTATGAAAGAAGTAGCAGCACTTTACAGCTTCACAATCTTTTCAGAAATGCAGTCCAACTAGAATCAGCCAGCAAGAAAAACAATGTTATCCTTCTTACAATCTAATGAGGACTGAGAGATGGAGAAGAAACTCAGCAAAACGAAACACTTACAATGCTAATGTTATCATTTGTAAATGTAATATACAATTTAATACATTAGGAGTATATATTGGTATAAAACTCTTATGTACATATTAAAGCATTCAACGCCTTCCTCTGTTGTTTTTATCATAACTTAATTGGAACCCTCTCAGTATTTAGAGAGAATAAATAAGGGAAGAGCAAACAGCCTTGTTCGCTTCTTCACCCATCTGCAGCCAGTCTGTTTTTGCCATATTCTGTCTGTACTGTGGCTTCCTGACCTGGGTATAGGTTTTGCATGAAAACAGTGAGGTAGTCAGATGTCTGAAATAAAGAGGTTGGGACAAGTTTAAGATGACAGTTGTTTGATAGAAAGAATGGTGGAAGGCTCAGGTGTACGTTTTTGTTGTTTTCAATTTCTTCTTTATTTCTTATTTTCTATCTTTGTTCTTATGTGTAGTTTATTACATTAAAAATTTCTAATTATAAAAGGTGTTATTGGATTTCTGTTTTCCTAAAGACACTGCACACGACACAATGAAAGGTCTTTCTATAACCATCAAAGCACATGCTGATTCTTTTTTAGTGTTCTTTAGTGGTAATTAATTTCTCAATGATCCAGCATGCATCAGCAATAATGTCTTATATTGCTTGCTTGACCTTTTCTAAAGCTACAGTAGTTTGAACATCTGTCTTTTCTCTTTTCATGAGGGCTTTAATTTAGGTTGGATGATCCTAAGCATTCTTTTGCTGTCATGTCAAAAAAGTGTATTGTATAATAGTTTGCATACTCTATGTCTCTTTTTTGTATTGGAATGTAGGTTGACCTCTTCCAATTGATGGGCTATTGTGATGTTCTCCAGATTTGCTGCCATAATTTGGCTAGAACCTTTATTAATTCTTCTGTTGCTTTCTATATTTCCAAGGGGAATTGTCAGTTCTTGTAGCTCTCTACTTTGGTAATGATTGAAGTGCTGATCCAACTTCATATTCTAGTAATAGTGTCTCCTAAGACTCTTGGATGTTGACATCTTTTCTGTCAGACTTCCATCCTTGTTTGATAATTTCTTCCATCCTTGTTTGATCTTCTTTGAACAGGTTGGTCTGTCCATTAGCATCTTTTAACAAACTGATCTGAGATTTCTGAGTTCAGAGATCTTTTGGAAGACTTCCTTTGTTTTTCTATATTTGATGTTTTTTATAGACATCATTATAATATTGCTCTTTTCTAGGCTTGGCTTCTCTTCTGGGCAGTTTCCACCATTTTTTCTGATTTCAAGTTTGCTTTTTTCTCATTATCTTTGTTAGTCTTTTTTTTTAAATATCCATTATTAACAACTTGATTTCATTCCAGAGTTGCTCTGATTCCTATCCATAGTTCAGGCTTCAAAGCGATTTTGTCGTCTTTTTTCTCCGCACCTCTGCACGTGACCGGAACCAGCTGGGTGGAGATGCCAGCGTGGAAGAAGAAGATTGGACCATGTGATGGATTTGTGGATGTGGGGACAAGATCATGAACTTTCAACTGGGTGGGAATCCTAGGTAACTTCGAGAATTGGGATAATGTCAGAGTTCCAAGTATCATGCAGAATTAAATCAGAGTCCAAGGCAAAACGATCCTTAAAATTCGAATTTAATAAGTCAGACATCTTGGCACATCTGTGGAATCCCAATTCTAGAACTTACCTAGGATTCCCACCCAGTTGAAAGTTCATGATCTTGTCCCCACATCCACAAATCCATCACATGGCCCAATCTTCTTCCATGCTGGCATCTCCACCCAGCTGGTTCCGGTCACGTGCAGAGGTGCGGAGACAAAAGATGACCTTGGGCTTCTAGAAAAGAATGACAACAACACATTCCACAATTCTACTCCTTTCTATTACCCCCTCCCAACTACTACACTAATGAAACAGCATAATGAAATAAGAGAGAGTGAGGCAGGCCAAAGATCCTAAAAGGGATATAACTGCAGGCATAACCCTCCATGTACAGTATATACAGACATTGCTTTGGTTGTTTGAAGTCTATGTTAACTGCATACCCAAACTTACATTTATATAAATGTAAACCAAAGCCTTCCAATCTAAACAAGAAGAAATTCAGCCTAATCCAAATTGAATCAATAGGGGAAAAATGCAAAAGTTTGAAATAGGATAGTGGGGGCCACACCATTCTTGAGCCCTTTACATTTGATAATATTCTAGACACGGCATGATTATCTATCACAGCCCCAAAACAAAACATTTCTTTTTGCTGAAAGGAGAAAATATGCTGTAAAATTTTTATTGTAAACCATGCTTGTCAAATGTAAGTATTTTAAAAGCCAAATTTTAGATCTGGCCATTTGCCAAGAGGAAATGGATGAGGGCAGAATGGAGGCTTATTAGTCTAGTTCCTGAAAGAAAAGAATCAAAGCATTAAGTACAGAGAAAACAAAACAATAAATCAAAGTGACTCATTAGATGTGACTGATGAGAAGCAATTACAACACTGGAGAAATGGTATGGCTATGCTAGGATCACTGATGTATAATAATTCATGTGAACGTATATTTGGTTACCTGGTTTTAAGAAACCGGTTTTCTCCTGGAATGTACAACTAGGAGTAGAAATCAGAATAATTATATTTTTACCAGTCTGATATTCTTCAGGTATGTTAGACAGTGTAATTGTTTCCAGTCAACTTTATTCAATCTTATACTGTGAACCTTCCAAAAAGGACTAGAATATTAATATTTGTTTTTATATGCTATCATAATCTGCATGGATTTCAAAATGTTTAGCAGAATAAACTATTAATACTAAAGCAATAATAATATTTATTATTAATAAATATTAAATGTAATATTTATGTGTATATTATTTTGTTAAATATTCCCTAATTGCATTTAAATCTGACTTGAGCCACAATGGCCCTCTAGTGGGGCATGAAGCGATTGCAACCAGGTCACAGAAATGGCTGATGAGTGCACTTGCGCATCCTCACTTGCAGAAGCAGTGGGAAAGCATGTGCGTGCACACTCCATTTGCGTGAGTGGGCAGGCCTGCATGCACACAACTTGTACAAATGGAACTGCTGTGCGCATGCGTGTTGGTCACTCGCATGGAACTATCCTCCCCTCTCCCCCGCCGGTACGCAAAGCTGGAAACATTGGGGAACTGAACTAGGCTGTTGTAGACTGCATGTTTGACTCCTCTGATTTAAATTATCAATTTAAAGATATTCTATAAACACTATTTTTCCCCAAAAGAAAGTTGGAGTCAGGGCACCACAACTTCTTTAAGGACGGTTGCCATCACCCTATATCAGAGAAGTATTGAACTCAGCTCATCTCTATTACCCCAGCCACCTTAAGGAGTCTGAATGGGTATGAATACAAGCCATCAGTGTGAAAGCACATTTAGCTCCTATTTATTCCACTGGAATCTATAGGTTAAGGACTCTCATATAAACTGCAAGAAGTGATGCAACTTTAGACTCTGCCCCTAAAGTATTAGAACTATGGTGAATATCAGCAAAATGCTGTGATAAGAACTTACTACAACTAGATAGCAACTCTTCTTGCACTCTAAAAGGAGCGAGCAGTTTTACACAAGGCTACTGTATAACACTCCTCTGACAAGTAGAAGAGTATGAGCACTTCACTGCTATTACTGCTACTTTATAGTTCAGATGTGAGCTGTGCCTGTGCTTGGTCAGATTTGTGCATTTCTATCAATGAAGACTTGAAAACTACTGACAGATACAGAATTCAAATGCTCTCAAACATATACCCTTCATTTCTTACCATTCTTTCCTGTCCTTGCAAACAATACTTAATACTGTAATGATATTTGGATCGCAACATCAGCTTCAATTGTCATAGCAGGGAGGCAGCTCCTAGCCAACCATGACTGATGTTATAAAAAAGTCAGATATGGTTAGTTCTTGGATGGGGAACTGCTAAAAAAACCCAGGGCTTAGACTAGAGGCAGGTATGAAAAAAATCTGAGAAAAACCAGTGACAAATCAGTCTTACACTGTTAACAGGAAATTTAGCATCCATTGGTCATGAGAAGTCGATCCCAATTTCAAAGAAGTTTTACCTTTTTTCATCAGCCTCAGACAAGGTTTAAACAAAGGTATTAGAGTAAAGAAGTAAACACTTATTTGATGTTCTATAAGAATACAGGAAGACATTTTTGTATCCAACAATTTCACCATCAGTAAATTGCAAAAGGCAGCATTACTCAGAACAGCTTATATCCTGTGGCCATACCTCTAAAACCACAAAACATTGATATTTGCCTATCCCAGGTCCTCGGGAAGGTGGATAAAAATATCCAAATCCAATCTGCACATCTGGCTAACTGCGACAAACCATTATACTAATAAAATATTAATACTAATTAATAATTGAAAATAATAGGTAAATAAAAAGACAGACAGACAAACCTCAAAGGGCAGACACAATGGATCACTGGGTCTTTTTCTGCCATCAGTTTTCTATGCCTATGGCACTGATGATGCAGTGCCATAGACATAGGCACTGCCTATGTCTATGGCACTGTAGGTATATATGAAGCATATATGAAGCTATGCACTAAAGGCATTGTTCTAGGTTTTATTACAGTACCTGGCATCCCAAATATTTAGCAGTTTATTGCCATATACAGTTAATGAAAAGAAATGCATTTTGTGCACTGGATTGATTATGCTCTTAGGGTTATGGGTTTTATTTTTAAACTTGCTAACAGATCTCTAGATGGAGCTGTTTGATGGATAATAGTAACTTCTGAACTGCAGTTTCTTTTGGATGCCTATGTATTCATTTTAAACTGTTCTGCAGTGAGCTTTGTCTCTTTTATCAACACGAGACCCCTTTTCTCTTGTTCCTACGCTATAGAAAGGCACTCACCAGTTAAGACTGAGGCAAGATCCAGATTCTGAGAGCTAAGAACATGACAAACCAAACAAATCAGCTAAAATGCCCACTCTAAAAAACACCCTTATCCCTACCACCTTGCCATGGTCTTTTAGAATGCAATTCTGAACATGTAGCTCTTCCCAGAATCCCTGCTCCCAGCCTGAGTTTCTGTTTCTGTCCGAATGCTTGGGGACACTTGAAAACAAAGCTCTGAGTTGCAAATGCTAGTAACCTTGTTTAGCAACTGCCTCAGACAGAAACACTATGCAATTATGCAGGTGATGAAAAAATAACAGTAACCTTGTGAATGTGACCAATGCCCACATTTAAAAACTTCACAGGTCTCTAAAGCAAAGCAAAGCTGAAGTAAGATTGTGTGCACAGTCACAGTCATGCGATTTTTCCACTTAGTGACCACTGAGGTTAATGAATGAGTTTTTGGTCCCATTAAACAAGGATTAATAGTACTGACCTACCTCTTTTCATCCTTCTCCTTTGATTTTTTTTTTAACTGAAACATTGAGCAAAAAAAAGTGTATAGCATTCTTCTTTATAACACTATGCTTAGCAGTTCACACCAAACTATAAATATTTAAATGTATATTTTTATAGGAGTACTTAAAAATGTGTGGAATAATATTTGTTTCCACTACAACCTTACATAGTATCCAAGGTCAATTTATTTTAGCACACTGATTTAAGAATACAAAAATAGTGCTAAACAATGTTTTACTTTTGGGTAGTTTATAAACATTCATTCTCACTATTTAATCTCACTCCTCATGCTGGTAGGATATTTTTGTAGTTATTATTTATCATTCAAAACCATTGGGGAAAAATGCCTTCCAGTCACTTGTGCTCATTGAGGAAATATTACCTGTTACAAAAGACCATCTCTTTGCTAAAAAAACCCAATATTCTATGGCCACAAATACATGTGTTTATAACATCATTTTAAAATTGCTTCAATATTTTTACTGCAAAAATTGAGTTT